AGGTATTTAGTGCATTACGTAATATTATTTATATTTCTTACGTTTAGTATAAATTCAGGTCATTCTGTAAACCTACTAGGATTTTTAGTTTTTAATTTGTATGTAAAAACGTTCCACCTGAAGAAGGCCGAAGGCCGAAACGTCGCCACATTAAAGCTGGAATAGTTAGAAGTTTGCTTCATGTTTCATCGTTTTACACTTACTTAAAATTTACATTGAAGCGCTGTATCCTCCTTGGATCCTTCTACTGGGAGCTCATCGTTTGGTGTACCTTTTCATTCTGTATATATACATATTTAGTATAATTTCAGAGCTGAGCAAAGTGTTTCCAGCAATCTGATAGGTCGAGCGGTTCCTTACATGACGCTCTATAAACCGCTCCGCGCGGTTTATATAAAATGTTCAACTAAAATGTTAATAAATGTTACTAAAATGTTATGATTTTAGAGATTTCTCTGTTGTTCAGCTCTGAAATTATGCTATAAAACAATTATTCGCCTCAGGTTTGGTGAATATTGTCGAATAATCCCCTCGACTTCGTCTCGGGGATTATTCGACAATATTCACCCCGCCTTTCGCGAATAATTGTTAAATATAAACCGTCTGATGATCGCAGCGCAAGCGGCATGAAACTCAGAGTAATGGTGAAACGATCTTCCTGTCATTAATTTATAACCACTATATATATGTATATATATATACTATGCTTGTTAGGGACCGATCATTATTTAAAGCCGGGGGAGGTGGCGGTCAGAAGATTTCGATTGTGCCACGAGAAAATATACCTTACGTACCCAGGAAGCTCTACTAATTCTACTTGCCGCAGCTGATTAGCTGCAACGTGAGTGGCTCCTGATAAACAGGGCAAGACAAACCAAAATAGACTTTACTGATCATGATGTTTACGAGTTTTTTCAATGTTTCGGTATCAAAATTAGACTATTACATCGCCGGGAAAATTCAGCGTTTTACGCTTCTTTTCTTTTCTCTGTTTGGTTCGTTTTAATTGCAGTTGAACAATTTAATCTGCTTTAAATTGAAGTAATCAAAGAGATGAAGAAACGTTCGATACTTTGGATTTGTTATCTCGTGATTCACTGGGTCACAGGTAAGCCAAAATGTTTGTCTGGGAATTATAATTAATGAGTTTTAGAACATGATTTATTGTCGACCAGTTAAAAGTACTAGCCTGGTGTCCAAAACGATCGTCGTTCGGAAATCTGAAGAACAGAAAAGGAATACTATATTTTAAGCATTTTAAACTCCACAATTAGTGGAGTTTTTCGATGGTTGATGTTTTTTTCCCTTCTGGATAAAATGTGACCATTAAAGTGAACTTTGGAACATCAGTGTATATCAGGTCGACGAAATGAAATGAAATTAATCAAGCCACACTTTTTCAGAAGAATTGCGAAGCGGAAGCGTTAAGAAATGAAACTAACAGAATAATGTGCGGAGGGAAAATGCCTAAGCAGAGCAGTTGAGAGCTTCAGCTTAACGCTTTTTTCGATAGAAAGGTGGAAATATCTGAAAAAGTTCGTTGCTAGAACTTAAAAATCAAATCTCGGAGACACTATCTTTACTAAAAAAAAATTAGTCTGCTTATTCAAGAATTATTTATGTTTATTTCCGTTACGACAATATCGACCTTTCTGAGAAAAAGCGGAAACGAAACTATGATTTAAGAGGTTAAATTTATCTCTGGTAATATCATGAAGGACCTGTAACTTCCTCGCAGTCGAGCTAATACACGGAGCGATTTGTATTGAGAAATTGAGGATTTAGGCGGATCTATGCCTTCAAAACAGAATGCGTGTCTGTAGACGTCTGAGCACGGTTGTGTCTAAAGGAAGGGGTCACGCTAAGGAAGTAAGCTAGGAATTAAATCCATCCTCCCTCGCTCCATTTGTGTCCCAGTCTTACCTCTTCAATGTCCTTCCATGCCAAAGTAAACCATTATAGCATGCTTTTACTGCAAAAAATTGATATGATTAAAATTGTGCAACTGTACCTCGTAATGTCTTGTAATGGGCGGTGATGGAGAAATTTTTGACGGAGTGTCTGCATCTGCACGACACGGTGCTAGTCAACCTATCAAGTGTGTTATCACCAGCCACTGAGCAGCCTGTGAAAGGAATGCAATCATTAAGAAACAAAAAAACAAAAAGATAACCACAAGGCCTTATATTAAGTAACTTTTCTTGACAGTGAAACTTATCGATATGAACAAATCTTCAATAAAAATAGGCCTAGCGTCATTGAAGCTGATAAGTCTTATCACTTCTTAAAAGTTGTACGTACGAAGGGGCCAGTCATTATTTATCACCTGGGAGGGCCAAGGATTTGTTTTTCAGGGGGAGAGGGAGTTACAAGGTTTTCAGGGGGAACGGAGGGGGGGGGATCAGTCGTGGTCAATAGAGTATCAAGGGAGGCACTATAGAAAATGGACTGCCAATGAGGTCTAGAGGGATCAGGTAAATTTTAATGTGACACAACCGTAATCCTCTCTCATTAGCGGGTAATGTGACGTTAAATCGAGAACACGAAAGTTTGCACTTCGGGATGACTAATGACTTGTGCCATGTCATTTACAGGATCTATTCAAGCTATTGTGTACCCAAGCATGATCGATGCTCCAGACACGCCAACAAGAGCCATCATTGGCAAAACTATTACATTTAGGTGGCACTATAATTCAGGAGATCTGAAGGATGATCTTTACGAGGTGGTTTTTGGTATTTGGAAGAGTCCTGGGTTCCTGAAAACAAAGTTGATAGCTGTCAACTCGAGTGGCTTTTCTTTAACAAGGCCCTCATATGAGTCATCGGTAGGTTGGGCAGGAAATTTGACATCCTCTATGGCTGTGTTTGAACTTTACAATGTAAAGCTTGAAGACAGCAAAAAGTATGGAATTGTGGTAGAATATGGCCTCCAAAATACCCCGTTGACCGGCACAGTTCAGCTTCAAGTTGTGTCCGAACTTCAAGCTAAATTTAGACGTAAGTGATATCGTTAAAGACAGCTAAGAGAGCGTTCGTTTTAAATCAAAATTGTATTTCAGGTTGCTGTCATTATGGTTCACTTGTGGGTCATACGATGGGGTCCACGCAGAAGAGATACATGCATGTCTCTTCAACGAATGCAAACAATTGATAAGATTTTAGGGGCATTGTTTTGTTCAGTCGGGATCCAAGATGTAGTTCCTTGATCGGAAGGGTCCCCAAAATTTCCCAAGAGAGAGGCCGCACTGAGTTATTCTGAGAAATCGATAACGGTTATTACAAGATCAATGCAAATTGCGAGTATAATTTTATTCAATCTTATTGTAGGTTATTATTATATTTTTATAAATTAAATAAAACTGTCGTCAGTTCTAGCTATATAAGCTCCGTTTCCTTCATGAATAGTCCAACAGAAGATTGAACCAGACAATCGTGTTTACAGCCATTCCTAATTTATCGAGAACGAAAATCACCAACGTCAATAGACCACCGCCGCATAAAAGGAGCAGGAAAATATTTTTTTATCATACTGTTCAGGAAAAAAAGAGGTAAATGAAAAAACAAGGAAGAATCCAGCCTTGAAGGAAATGGGTGTCGGATGCGGAGATCTGGGGTCTGGCTGCTCACAAATCCAAACTAAACTTTTTACTCTATCTATTGTATTTCCTCTTAAAACTTCCAGGTATGAAACTTAATTTTGCGTAAATTCTTAGACACAGATCCACCAAAAACTGCCACTCCACAACAGAGAAATGTTACCACAGTAGTGTATACCACTAACAAACTTGGGTCTACAGAAACGGTGAAAGGTAATGTTCTTATCCTGCTGGTCCGCCCATCCCAAGAATGTGTGCACTAGTAAGATCACTGGTCAATTACACTGCAGTCAACGCTTCTTTTTCAATCTAATCAAGAATTTTAAGTTGCCTTAATAAATTTTCATCCTCTCACAAAACTACCTACCCCGGTAGGCTGAGTTTAGACTGCAAATGATTTCGCATATTGCAAGTTCAAACAGTTCATTATTATCCGGCAACATGTAAGAATACTTTCGTTCCTATCAATTAACCTCCAAACTGACCTTCATACTCTAAAGAAACTGTTTGGGGCTGCGTCGGTGGGGGTAACGAAATAATTTGAATATATCAACAAAGTTGAAATGGTAAATTGGCCTCCGTTACGGTTATAAAAGCTGACGTTTCGAGCGATAGCCTTTCGTTTGAGCGAATAGAGGAATTGTGGGTTGTGTGTGCTTTTAAAGGCAGAAAATGGAGCTGCGTGATTGGTGTGAACACGGCAACGAGAAAAACACGAATAAAGTTGACTCAATTCATAACCGCAGCCAATTATTTTCACCCGGCTCTGAAATATACCTGGGAAGTTTCTGACAATTCTTTATCCTTTTTAGACATCAAAGTTTCAATTGAAGGCAACGGTTTATGGACTAGTGTGTATTACAAACTTACAGACTCGCATAATTACTTGTTGTATTCGTCTTCGTATCCATCTCACGTTAAGAATTCCATTCCTTTTTCTCAGTTTCTAAGACTTCGTCGTTTATCATTGTAGTGATGACTCTGATTTCCACCACAAATTAGANAACAAAAGCTCATCTTTCAAACCGGCAGTCTAAATCCCACAGGTATCAACGAACGCTTTTCATTCCACCAATTTATTCGTGTTTTTCTCGTTGCCATGTTCCCACCAATCACGCAGCTCCATTTTCTGCCTTTAAAAGCACACACAACTCACCATACCTCTATTCGCTCCGACGAAGGGCTAACGCTCGAAACGTCAGCTTTTATAACCGTAACGGTGGCCAATTTACCATTTCAACTTTGTTGATATATTGAAATTATGACCTTTATACTCATTTAGCCACCTACCTTTTTACCAAAATATCTGTCAACTATTACAGTTTGATCAACAGATTTTTTTATATGTCTGTTCCAGAGCCCAGCGGTTCAGTGCCAAGAAAAACATCGAAGAAATTCCCCTTTACATTGGCGGTGGCATCCGGAGTTATCCTGTTTGGTGTCATAACACCTATTGTGCTGAAGGTTTGGTTTCACCATCGTAAAAAAGCTTCAAATTCGGCTCACATCAGGCTGACGAGTTCGAGACAAACCCACTTTGCTCAGATCAGTTCGGCTTAGCTAAATTATGCTATATCATAATTGTGGGCATAATGCTAGTGTCAGAACATCGAGAATAGGGCCAAGAGAACGACTGAGATTCTTGAGCATAACGCGTGCAACTACGTTTCTATTACTTTTACTATTACTATTAGTTTTTATTCCTATAATACGTTTTACCTGTCGGTGGAAGGGAGAGAGAGGGGGGGGGGGGACTTTAAAGGCTTTTAAGTGAATATTAATCTCTATTAATGTGAATCTGGGCATCGATAACTATTAGGTCTGGACAGTTTAGATATTAGCCCTTCCTTAAGATTGAGCAGTTTGTTCGGTATTCAAGTCATAAGCCTGTGGACACTATTTAACAAATGGGAAACACCACAGAGTACACTATTGAGTTATGGATGCACGCGGGAGGTTGTTAAACACGAAAGAAGCGTAAGATTCGCGCGAGGCGATAGCCGAGAGCAACTCTAGCTTCTTGAGTGCTTAGCAAACCTCCTAATTGCATCCATAACTCAATGGTATAGACTGTGGCGTTTACCATTTGTTTTCTAACATAACATTGATATATTGTAGCAAAAGAGTTTTCTTCATATTGAAAAAGGGAAAACCTCATAAACATTTACTTTCCACGCACATTTACATACGCTTGCTACAAAACTAGTTTCGTCTACAGACCTCTTCAGTTCTCAAAAAAGAAACAACAACTTTGAGTTTAAATTTACAAGACATGTTTCGACATTCTCATGTCATCTTCAGTTGCAAATGAGCATTTAACTGTTGTACATTTGAATTTATATTAAGGTACGTTACAAACTACGTGTCAGGGCTTACGTTACATTTGAATGTTAAAAACGCGAAAAATGTAAATAGCGCGCGCTTGACTAGATCAAAAAATAAATAAATAAATAA